ACGTTGGCCATGAAGGGGGCGACCAGGTCAGCGAAATCCTGAGTGGGCCCTGTGGGAGCTGGTGGTGGCTTCTGAAACTTCAAGGCCCCCGTGGGTCTCTCCCGGGGCTGGCACAGCTTGATGGTCCCACACACCACCTTCGGGTCTGACTGGGGGAGCAGAGGGGTGGGGGCTTTAGGCTGCATCTGCCCCATCACCCTGCTCCCCCTGCTCCATCCCTGGGTCATTTCCATCCCCATCATGTCCTTCAGAGGGTTTGTCCCAGGCTCCAAGAGCCTCCTTTGCTCTGCAAGCCCTCAAGACATCCCAAACCACTGAGAAACACAAACCCAGGGGTGTCCCCTGCCAGTTACCAGCACTTGCTTGCCCAGCTGGGCGAGGATGAGGATGCCGGTGTCCACCATCCTCTTGCACTTGACAGACCAGTCCTGGAAGGGCAGGTACTGGCATCTTTTATCCAAGAAGAGCCTCAGCTTTTCCTGCATGACAAACGGAGAGCTCAGGGCCTCAGTGGTGGTGGGGGAAGAACAACAGCCCTCCACCCCCTTCCCGGCCGTGACCCACCTCAGTGCGGTTGTCCTGCAAGATCTTGCCCATCACGGAGACGGCCACCTGGCACAGGTGACACGGGATCCCCTTCTGCTGAGAGAGAGAGGACATGTCAGGATGCTGTCACAGCACCCAGACCCACCACTTGCTCCCAGGATCCCAAGCCTCCAGCCCAAAAAACCAAGGGACACTTGGGAACATCCTGGGACACCCACTGATTTTTTTGCCACTCATTCCGCAGACGCGTTGCTGTCTGAGGGCATCAGATGCTTCTCTGGGTGCCCAGCACTGGGACGGGCAGCTGGGATTCTCCCCCCAGCTCCATGTTTTGGGGCACTTCTCCCCCACCCGCCCAGCTCCCCTGCTCCCAGCACGGTTACCCCCAGGGCCTGGTCCCAGGCGGTGAGCTGGCAGAGCTCCAGGGCCCCACACTTGGCCGCCGTGGTCACGTCGCGGCACCAGTCCTCCGGCCGCTCGCCACACTCGTGGAGGGGGCTGGCCCCGGCTGGGGGTGGGGGAGAGGAGACTGTCAGCCCACAAGGAACGCCAAAACACCAAATCAACCTCCCCATCTGCACCTCAGTGAGCTGAGAATTATGCTCCTCACCCTCCCGCTGTGATTCCCCCTCAGCTCCCAGAACAGTGATGTGGTTGGTTTATAAATGATTTTTTAAGCCCAACAAAGGTCAGCTTTGCCAGGCCACTGTCTGCTGCTAGTTTTTCCGATGGGATGCCACAGCGTCACAAGCAAAGGGAATTTGGGGCTCAGCCTCAGCCTCACGGCACCCTTTGACAGGCTGCGGAGGCGGCTGCTTATAAAAGCGGCAATAAAACCCTGAAAATTGAGCAAACCCGGGGCGCCGGCGCTCAGCCCCGCACGGCAGCTGGATAGCCACGCCACAGCTCCCGGCAGTGATTGCGCAACCCCATTTTTGGTGGGGTTTTGTTGTTTTTATTTCCTCCCGACGACAGCATTTTCTCCTGACGGCAAATCCCCGGCAGGACAGCGGCGGCATCGCCCTCCCGAGCCGCCCCGGCAGCGCGGGGCAGTGGCGCAACACCGGCCGCTTAATTGTCACCTTGGTGTGTCAGGACTCATTTCTGATGGGGTGAGTGCTTGTTCCCACCGGGAACTATGCCCACCCGGGATGTGGCTGGGGAGGAGCCGGCAGAAGCCAAGCCCTTCGCTGCCTGGCTGCGCCGGGAAGCTGGGGTTGTGTGGGGAGCAGCACATGAGCAGAGGGACAGACAGACCCTGCTGCGGACCCTCTTGCAACAACCCCGCTAAACAAAGCACAACTCCACACTCTCTGAGCATTTACATCCAGCTTTTCTGCCCCAGCCCTGGCCATGTGATTTTGCACAGCA